TGAAAAATAGATCCAGAAGAGCCCTTGCCTTCTTGTTCCTCTTCTTTTAACTTTTGAAATTCCATTTGTAATTCTTCAACTGATAATGCCATTTTTTTTTCTTAAGAGCAACCCAAATGTTTTTAGTCTTTCAAGAAATAGTTCCCAAAAATCCCAAAGTCACAAAGCAATCCAAATCAGAACAAATTGTTTCATTTAGCACTTTCTTCTTTTTATATTTTTTCTTCTTGGGGTAGAATTCAGTTACACAGTTCCAAAGTAATTTTTTAGAAGTCTAATTGCCACTTATTTCTGTTCTTATAAACTCCAAGCAGTCTCCTTCAATACAATCTTAAAATAAGTTCTTTACCTCTTCCCTCCCACTTATAGCAAAAAGATTTTAGTTTTTAATTCCAATGTTCAGAAATCTTTTATCCCCTTGGCTTTAAATTTCAGGTTTAGTTACCTTCTGTGCCCAAGCAGGTTTTTCCAATTTCCATCAGCTATTTCCATGGGGAGGGAGAGTGAGAGAAAATAACTTTCCCTTTGAATCTTCTTCCGCCGCTTTCACAGTCTCCTTGGGAAACAATGTATCATTCAAACGATTAAATTTCCAGGGTGTTTAAAGGTTCCTTGTTGTCCCAGTTCAGCCAAAAAACTTTCACTTTCTCCGACTTCCTCCTGCACAATCTTACCCGGCTGCAGGCTTCTTTGTGGTGGCCATTACTGACCGCCGCTCCACCGCCTTGGGAAAAAGGAGTTTAGCTGGCTGAGGAGGGGGTTTGCAATACCCCCAAGTGCCTGCCCGGATCTCCTCTCTCTTTGGTTGCCTCTATGGGGCAACCATATCCTCCAGATCCAGCTGGATCGGAGGCACTTCGGCGGCGAGCGCAGCAGGGACTGCGCACGATCGCAGATTCCTGCCACTGCCGAAGCCTTGCAAACCGGAAGTCTCAGATGTAGGGACTTTTTATAGAAGATAGCAACACTACCTCCTCTACGGATTTCATGATCTGATCAGTAAACATGATAGTCTCTTACTGTGGTAATGGAGTCAGGGAGAGATGCGTTGAGCCATGTTTCACAGACAAATATAATGTCGAATTTAGCCATATTTAGTAAGAGGAAAAATTCAGGTATTTTATTTACAAGGCTTCTTGCATTGAGTAGCTTGCATTTAAGGCCAGTTGTGGTTGGAATAGAGGTAGTTAGGGGCATGCATGCCTAGTTTTGAGTGATGTTGGATTGATGGGGTGGGGTTGGATGCAGAGTTGTGGGTTGTGTGACTTTTTTTTTGATGCAGTCAGCTCTGTAGTCAATGTATAGATCCTTTTCTCCATTGTCTAGACGGTTTTTGAGTTCTACACAGAGTTCATGGGAGCAGATTCTTTGCAGTATGGATAAGTCTGGTCTTGAGTAAAGTTTTTTGTGGTTGGGATTGGTTTTTGCAATGGCGTTTATTGTATGAATGAATATGCATTTGCTGGACTCATTTTTGCATACAACTCTACAAAATCTTGGGGCCACAGAGCCATCATTGTATTTGAACTCAGGGCCATCTCTGGTTATTTCAATGATATCTTCAGGAGAGATGTTTGTTGTATTTGAGTTGCTTATGATATCACGAACTTTGGTGATGTCGTCTGATTCGTTGATGTCTTCTGAATAATGTCAGTTGGTGCTCCGTTCAAAATCCAAGAAAGAAATACTTAGACTCTTGTAATTAGAGAAAAGATATCTTTTACTGGAAGTCAAGTGGTAGCAACAAGAGAATTCTGAATCTGAGGAAATAGGCATGTACAGCACATATATCAAGGGAGTGAAATGTTCCCACCCCCAATAGTTCAAACGGTTCTTCCAATTAAAAGTTGTGAACCTCATCATGTGGACATCTTCAGGTGGTGATGATTAGTTGACCTTGGCTTACTCAGATAAAGGTTTGCAGTTGCACAGAGAAGAGAACGCCAAGCAAGAAATAGAAACCCTCCTCAGTTTATACAAGATTAGTTAGTAACACCTCCAGTCTGTTTCCCATACTTTTCCCCCTTCCTCCCCCCGTTACTCATGACAGCCAGAAAGAAGATCTTGAAGGCTGACAGGAAGTTTCCCTGGGGCCCAGGAAGGCAAAAAATGGGGTGGGGTGCTGCATCCCTCTTCATTTTTTGCTTTCTTGGGCCTCAGGGAAGCCTCCTGGGTGAAGCAGTAAGTAAGCGAGGGGAATCATAGGAACAGCTGATCATCAGGAGGGGGAAAAAAGAAATACCTTAAGGAGTGACTGGGCTGAAAGGAACGCAGTCAGTGATGTCGGGCATGTGCGCATTGTTGTGCATGCGTGATAAGGATTGACTGGGAGGGGAGGGACGGGCAGAGAGAGGAGGGGCCAGCCAGGGGCACAGTTGCCAGTTCTCTGAATTGCACAGAATCATAACAACCGGTTCTATAAAACCGGTCTGAACTGGTAGAATCCCACCCCTGGTATTTTGAAAATATCTCTCAGCTGCTAATTAAGTTCAAAACTGAATGTAGCTATAAATGTATGTATGATTTTAACATTATATGGATGGGAATAAAATTACATAACTGAATGTATTCCCAAATACAGTAATAATAACGTCCCACCACATTGAGAACTGAATATTAGAATCTAATTCCTGATTCTTCCAAAGCATTCTTGTTTGTAGTCAAAAGAATGCTGGTTGAGGAGAATAGTTGGAAGAGCTGAGTCAGTTTGAAATTCCATAATTGATTGTTAAGCAGAATAAGGTGTTTTTTTTTTAAGCAGATGTTGGTGTCAAATTTTCCTTTTCAAACTTCTCTCTGCATCCTGTTCCCCTCAAACCCCAATTTAAGTTACATTTTGCATTGAAATGAAGAAAGACTGTAGGGTCCTTGATGCTTTTTGAGCTTCGTTGTTTTCTTCCATGCATTTCATTACCCAACTAGATAACATCATCAGTGCTAGTTGTGAGTGTTGTTTGCTATCTTTTTAAATACTAGTGGATTGCTCTGTCAGTGTTAATGGGAGTGGTCTTGATGGTTCCTTGATTAGGCTGTTCTTTATTATTAGCTTGTTTGTCTGAGTGTGTAGTTTTTTGATTATTTTATTGTTGGCTAGCATTAATCTTGATGTTAATCTTTGTTTCTCTGAGTGTTAATTGCTGGCTAAGAAGTATTTTGATATTTTGGTTTACTTTTTGGCTTTGTGATTATTTCTTTTGAATGATATGTAAATATTGTTTATTTTTGTGTGCTTGTTGAGAGCTGAATTATCTGAATGCCAAGCTTCCATGATTTCTTGACTATTCTCTAGTGTTTTTTAACTTTCCCAGTTAAATTATGATTAATTTTATTCATGTGTTGTGAAATTAAGGAATTGTCATCATATCTTCTAGTTGGTGTTGATGGATACAATCTATAATGAAGAGAAAATTTGTAGAAAAACATTGTGCTACAAGAGAATGAAATGAATATAGGTAGTCCTCGATTTACAACCACAATTGAGCCCAAAATTTTTGTTACTGAAACAGTTGTTTTGCCCTATTTTACCACCTTTCTTGCTATATTTGTTAAGTGAATCACTGTATTTGTTAAGTTAGTAACATGATTGATAAATGAATCTGGCTTCTCCCTTGATTTGCTTGTCAGAAGATTACAAAAGATAATCACATAACCTTGGAATACTGCAGCTGTCATAAATATTGTCAGAATATGCACAGTGTGATTAGGTGAGACAACTCAGGAGCAAATACAGTAATGTGTGGACATGCTCTCCCCTGATTTCAGTTGTGCTTTATATACAGTCTGCTTGTCAGCAACACTTTACTGCCTGCAGTCTCTCTAACGTATACATTGTGCAATGCCTCCTAGCACTTTTTTGCAGACTGGAGACCCTTCATGTGTCTCAGTTGACTGTCCTCCAAAGCTAGAATTATACTGGGTAATGCCTTTTCATTTCTTCTCCAGTCCCCATCATCCAGGACTGCTGATGGATTAGTAACTATCATTCACAACTCCTCCCTTCTCAAGTACATCTCCATCATTACACCCCAGGAGAGATAGTTTGTCTCATTCAACCAAGACACCACAAAACCTCCTTCCATTACACTGATGGAAGCCATGTTGCTTGTTTCTATTAGAAGCACTAACCACTAACAAACCACAATGCACAGCCCTTCTGACTTTAGAGCAAGCTCTCACTGGGTTTCTCCTCTCTCTAGTTTCTCTAGCCACTCCAGCCTTCTCTCTGGTCTGGCCCCATAACCTGTCAGAGTGCGCACAGTGTGACTAGGTGAGACAACCCAGGAGCAAATACAGTAAACAGGTTTGTATTTACATATAATGGTTTTATTCCTACAAAGTATACAAGTACTTTGATACAGGCCTTGAACAAACAGCAGTCAACAAATTACAGCACAGAAGTACACACTGAGAGAGAGATATACCCTCACAGGGCCTCTCTTATATTACAGCCTCTTAAAGCAGTAGCAGTCAAATAGCCTTGCTGACTCATTGCTACCATTGCATCATCATTATATCAGTACAGTATTACAGCAGCTGTTCACCTATTAAATCATCATTACCCTGACAAATATGAACTAGTTGCCAAGCATCTAAATTTTGATTATGTGGCCATGGCAGTAATGAAAAACAGTCATAGATCACTTTTTTCAGTGCTGTTGTAACTTTGAATGGTCACTAATTAAATTGTTGTAAGTTGAGAACTACCTGTCTGTACCCATTTGTTCCTGCTATGCAGACTTTAAAATCTGTTTTACAATTTTCTTTCACCTCTTTAAGCAACATGTATTTAAATCTCTTCAAAATATACTAATACAACTAATCATATAACTAGCATCTTAGGAGTGAAATTAAAATGATACTTAAGCACAGTTCACTAATATGTGAATTACAGTATATTTAGTTATTGTCTTCATTCCTGAATAGCATGAAATTAAATAATTGCCAAAGTTTTAAAATATAATTGCATTATTTTCTGTCTTCCATCCTTCTCTTTGTTTCAGGGTTTTAGATACTTTTGTTAACAGAGCTCATTGAAGGTAACTAAATATGAGAAGAAAATTAGACTTGTCTGACCTGACTGATGATGAAGCTGAACATGTTCTTCAAGTGGTCCAACGAGATTTTACCCTCCGCAAAAAAGAAGAAGACCGACTGAAGTAAGTATTAAGACAAATACATCATTTAGAAATTAGAAAATTATTTATTTATTTATTATGCATCCCCTGTTTTATACTCTGAACATATTGCATTATAAATTAAATTCTTATTAGATGCTTAACAAAAACAGGCCAGTAAAATGCGGATTCTAAGGTTTGCAAATTGGCATCAAATAAACAAGTTTTATTCTAACAATTCATATTATTGTATCAAGAGTTTTAAAAAGGGCAAATCATTCAAGCAAGGTCAGAAAATTACTGCTACCATTACTATGATTTCTGATGCCTCTTTGTTCTTAGAACTTGACACATATAGTATAGTCATAATTTTTAGAGACTTGAAGCAATGTATCCTGTCCTCCCTCAGCTACTTCTTAAATTATTATATACACTACATTATATCTAAGAGTCTTCTCTCTTTCTCTGTCTCTTTCTCTTTCCCTCTAGTTAGAGATAAAATATAGCAAATATCAGATATGTACTAGATGAGGTGTTAACATACAAACATCATTATTGTATGTGTGTGTGTGTGTGTATGTATGGCATTCAGCTTTGTTCAGGTATTTTCCCACGTCATAGTAGTGGTGCTTTTAAAGTTGTAGAAAATACCCGAACAAAGCTGAATACCATACATATATATATATGTTTTCTTAAGTTTTCGCGGGTATTTATATGTATGGTATTCAGCTTTGTTCGGGTATTTTCCCACGTCATTATAGTTGTGCTTTTAAAGTTGTAGTGACGTTTCGGCAGAATCTCATTTGCCATCATCAGGCTTTTGTATTGGGTTCATCTGTGTGTCAGGTTTTCACAGCGTTTTAAATTTGGTGCTAGCCTCGTGCTGTATTAGAATGTTTTTTTCTTCATCCTGATTGGTTGGGAGTCTTGGTCTGTGTGTATTGGTCTTGGAGTTTGCTGTGTTCTGCTTGATTGGTGTTTCTAATATCTTCTGTCTGTTTTGTAGTGTTTTTTTCTCTTGATTGGCTGGCAACATTGTGTTTCATGTATTGGGGGCATGAATAGACTCCACCAGACTGTCAATTAGCTGGAAGCCTAAACTCACAAAGAAAAAAAATCTCCACAACACAAGCCAAGCAAACACCTGGGCACAAACAGACCCCCCCCCCCCGATACCTCCAGCCCAAACACACCCCAACCAGCCACCCAGATGAAACCTAGTTTCCTAATAAATGATAGCCGGCCATTCACCCGAAGCTAAGCCGCACTAAAAGCCCCTAATACACGAAACACAATGTTGCCAGCCAATCAAGACAAAAAAACGTCCTAGTGTCTTGTAATTTTTTTGCCTGTTGATTGCTTCCATTAACTCCCTCATTGTAATTCTTTCATTTAATATTATTTTCACTTCGTCTGGTACTTTTGGTAGGTTAACTTCTTCCATATATTATTTAATTCTGTCTTCTGGTATGTTTTCTAAAATTTACTATATAATTTTTCATAAAATTCTTTTATTATTATTTTCTTGTCTTCATTTTTATGTTGGATTGTACCCGTCTCGTCTCATAGCTTTTGTATCAATTTCTTTTCTTTCTCTTCTTTGAGCCTAAATGCCATCCATCTCTCCGACTTTTTGCATTTTCAAAGAAATTTTGTTTAGCTGCCTTAATTTTTTGTGCCAGTTCCTCTTTCTCTTAAGATATTTAATTCATATTTTACTAGTTCCATTTGATTTTTACCATTTCTTTTTTGTGGAACTTTCTGTAGTTCCAATTCTAATCCTTTATATTCTTCTTCTAATTACTTTCTTCTCTCCTTCTTTCCCCTATTTTTTCTTCCTATATAGGAGATCGCTAACCCTCTGAAATATGCCTTGGCAGTATCCCATACATTTTGCAGGGACAGTTGTCCATTTTTTTTAAAAAAAAGAATTCCATTTCCTTCTACATTTTCTTTATGAACTCTTTATTTTCCAGTAGTGACTGTTTTAATGTCCATCTGGATTTTCTTGTTTGACCTTTCCACTTTAGTTTTATTGGGCTATGGTCTGCCCAGATACTTGCTTCCACTTCTATTTCTTGTACATTCTCTTGTAATTCCGATGACATCCATGTCATGTCAATTCTCAACCATGATTTGTGTATATTTGAGTAGAAGGTGTATTGTTTTTTCTCTGGTTGTATATCCCTCCAAGCATCTTCAGTTCCTCCATCATTTAAAAAAAAGTCTTTGGTAATGTTCTCCTTGCCTTTTAATTTGTTTTGCTACTTTTATAGTCTAACTAGCCAATAACCTGGCGTTGCTGGATATTTATTTATCCCAATCCTGTAATAGACAGGAAAATCCTGTAGTCGGGACTAACACTGTTGTACTATCTGTCACGCAATTCTTCTATTCCTCCACAAGAGGGAGCCCTGTGAAGCCGTTACCATGGCAGAAGCCATTTTAAGGCACACGCACACACACACACCAAAGGGTGTTAGGGGTGTCTTATTCTCCACAGTATTTGTTTCCAGAGTGTAAGTCATCTGTGTACCAAGTTTGGTTGAAATTGCTCGAGGCATTCCAGTGTTACGCTGGAACATACATACACATAGCCTGTAAGGCCCAGACTCTCCCCTTCAAGCGATAAGAATGAACTTCTGAAAACTGGATATTTCAAAAGGAATTCTTTATTGAAAAGGAAGTTATCCAGGTGATAGTCAAAGCAGGATCTAATATGCCTCCAGGCATGCAGTATAGATAAAGGGAGTTAGAACCCCTCCCCTTAGTCTGATGTGGATTTCATCAATACAAAGAAGTAACATGTTAATCCCTGCCCCTTTTTTTCTGGGAACATAATTAATAAGCGTTTCCCAAGAAGTTTCTTTCAGAGCTGAAATTTTTATAGCCCCTTCTCTTGCTATCTCTCCAAGAGGTAACAAGTTCCCAGACATCTGTGCTCCAGTCCCCAGTTGTATATCATGTGCAAGTTATACAGATTCAGTATAAGAATTAAGATATTCAGGTTACATCAAAAAGGATTACTTGTACCAACCTCCCCCCCTTCTCCTTCTATTGAAGAATGGCAGATAGCAATTCAAAAGTGTTCAAAAGTGTTCCAAAAGTATTCTGTTCAAAATGGTTCCAGTTTATTATCTGCTAGAGCCAGAGAGCTGTTAATTTTGCACAGTCGTGGTTCTTCCATTCTCTGTTCCAGCCTCCCAGACTAAACAAGTTACAGATGTCAAAAGGGTCTTCATGTTCCATTCACTATAATTCACATCTCAAGGCCATGTCTATTCACAAGCCCTTTCACTTTAAACACTTTCTGTGCCAGCAAGAACCAGTAGATGGCGCACTTGTTCTGTTCTGTTTCCTTTGTTTTAATCGATCCTCCTTATCTTTAAAATTTAGAAACTTTTTCTTTTCATAGCCAAAAGTTCCAAAAATTTTGTAGTGAGGCCAACAGAGACTCAACCTCACTAGTATCTCACCCTCCTCTCTTTTCCATTCTTCTTGTGGCAAAATGGTAAATTCTTTCTAACTTTTTCCCTTCTTAATGTCTGAATGCCTTTTCACGGCCAGTTCTTTTTTATTTTATTTATTTATTTGATTTGCCAATTGTTTACAAGATAATAAGTATAAGCGTATACATAGTTGTGAATACATGAAATGGGTACATATAAGAAAAATAAAAGAATAAGAGAAACAATAGGACAGGGACGGTAGGCACGTTGGTGCGCTTATGCACGCCCAGTTCTGGAGGTGGAAGGTTTAAGTCCCTCCCCCTATTCTTTACTCTCTCTTGATTTCACTTTGATTTAATCCAATTTAAGGGAGAACTAATTCTTTTCTTTTCTTTTGAAGTATAGGTCAACTAAATCTCAGCACACCGCTCCACAATCTTCTCCTTTTAACTTCCTGGTCTGGCTGCCACCACTTCTGACAGCTCGTAATGGCTGTCTGTCACTCCACGCCAGTCTGAGAGGTTTTCCTCTGCTCCTACAGGGATTTGCAAGCTCTCTGTGCTGCTCTGAGTATCCTTCACCAACCCTACAGGGTTGGCTAGGGTCTCCAGAGACCCCCAGGCAGGGGGATTTTGATCATTTCCATGGAGCTTGTGGAATCCTGTCTCTCAGCCACTGCAGTGCTAGTCACGCCTCTCTCTTTGGATAAAATTTTTGGGCTAAAAAAATAGGCACCAGGGCTTATTTTGGGGAGATGTCTTGTTTTTTTTTCTATGTAGAGCAGGCAGCAAGCATGCAGGAGTGTGACGGGATGTTTGATACATACAATGAGGTGCATGGGGTAAAGACGCAGAGCTTCGAAGTGAGGCAGCAATTGAGCCAATCTTAGAGCATGGGGTTGGACTAACCATAACAGAGTTCAGTCAGGGGGGCATACGTGCCTTTCCAGTGTCAGGCCGGCCACTGCAACCCCATGGCAGATGTGCTGGGTGGGGGAGGGAAGAGCACTGAGGCATTGGCAGCCTGGCTGACACTCTTCCAGACAGAGTGGAATCCCGTTGCAGCCGCACAACTCCCTTCTAATACAAAAACACTATTGTTATACCCTCTCAGTTTGAAATACAATTTTTGACGTATAGTGTTAATGTGATATGCTATATAATTATGTTGCATAAAGAAAATATGTGCAGTACTGTTTTTTTCAGTAAATTGTAAATTCAGTAAAATGTGGAGTGATACAAGGATATAAGTAGTTTTTAAAATACTAATTATAAAATTTATTTTAATTGCTAAAGTCATAAATTTAGTATCACTTATAATCCTATATAATAGTTTTCCACACTTCAGCACAAAAGTGGAAGCGTTTTAATGTTTTTATTTAAGCACTTTTTTGGAAAAGGATGGGAATATAGTCTGTAGACTCATTCTGATATCCAAACAATTCACAAGTGGGTGGATCAAAAAGACAAAAAATAAAAGCTCAAAAAGTCTAGAAAAAGGTTTTGGTTAATAATTTCACTTCTTACTAGAGCAATGAACTCTATGTGCACTTAACAATTTTGCACTGAAAAACAAGAATTGCATTTGTACTTC